CTTAGAGTGGATGAGAAATGAATTTCTGATGCATGCTATGATGACCACTGAGAAGATGATGTGGAGTGAAGGGAGTCAGACAGAAAAGGACAAACGGTGTGTGATTCCCCTGGTATGAAGAGGTATACAGACAAGGCAAATGCATGGGAGGGTGACTATGTTAGTGGTAACCAGGGGTGTGTATGGAGAGGACTTACTTAGAGGGTGAGTGTGTTAGTGGTGATCAGGGGTGTGTGGAGGGGTAGAGTGGTGAGGTCTTAGTAGGCACTGAGTTTTTGTAAAGGGGGGTGAAACATTTTGGAAATGGAGGTGCTGCACTTCATGTCACTGGACTAGACATTTATGGGGTGTCGAGGCTCTGGACCCTATCTGGAGGTTACACCAGCTCCCCCTTCACCTACATGCCTATGACAGACTTGACACCACTTCCCTAGGAAACTCACCACACAAGCCTGGCCTGCCGGAAGCCACGGTCCTGATCAAACAGTCATTTCTGCAAAAATAATTACCAGTGGGAAGATCTATCGCCTGAAGGATTTCCACTGGAGCTGAAATCATTTGCTAAGCAGACATAACAGACTAATGATTGTTTATTTTTTTGAATATGTAGCTCAGCATAGAGGACACAACAGCTGGTGTCTGTCGAATTAGAGCTTCTCTTCAGCAGAAGACTTCCCAGTCATCCCGTTGTTTACTTCATACCCTCTGCCATACCTGCAGCCCTGAGGTCTCCTCACATGGGCCTCTTCAACCACAGCTCTGTCATCATGAGGACTACACTGCTGTCTTCTGCCAAGACACAGGCATTAGCTCTCTCATGTTCTCTGTGCTCTGAAGCCCAGTGGTGGTTATGGATTCCTGCTTAGTGTTAGCCGCTTGAGACATGAAGCCTGCAGACCAGGGCCAGGCTGGTTCTTAGGGATGAATGACTGTTGAGCGGGGGGCCTGGGAGCCAGGCAGGGTGAGGTCTGCTACCCCATTGTTCTCTGCCTGCTGATGAAAGGGGTGACTGAGATACCATCAAGACATGCCAGTCTTCTCCGATTCTCAGGGTGGTGATGAGGCGGGGTGTGTCCACTGCCCAGTTGGGACTCTGAAGTAACCCAGCTGAGTGAGGTCAGGTCAGACACGTCTGGTAAGATCAATATGGATGTGAACCCAGGCTTCCTTGCTGCCCACAGGCTGGTCCAGGTTCTTACACACCTGGCTTTTTGCTGGATCAGTTGGAATGAATCATTTAAAACAAGGTCTTTTGATGGTTTGACAATTGATGAAGGAAGTCGAGAGTGATCATGACAATGGAGGTAGACAGGGTAGTAGTGGTGGCCCAGGACTGAGATCTTGAGGATGAGTGGAGACCATGCAGATGGAAGGGATCAGAGTGGTGACCCAAGGTTGATCTTCTGAGGGTTATGGAAACAATGCAGACGGGTGGGTTCGCAGTGGCTGCCTAAGATTTATCACCTAAAAGTGATGGAGAGCATGCAGGCAGATGGGTGGCATAGTAGTGGTGAGCTGAGCTCCTGGGCTGAGCTCCTGAGGGGGACAGAGACTGGGCAGATGGACAGGATCCCAGTGGTGGGCTGAGCCCCTGAATATAGGGAGCGTCTGAAGGGGATGCTGCTCCCCTCTCAGGCCTCTTCTATGACAACACATCGTTAATGACCATTTTGCTTAAAACATTGATTTTTTTTATCAGTAATCCTCCTGGGATGGCATTTCTGGCTTCTCTTTTAGCTGGCTTAGCAGTTTGCCTAACTGGGCCCATCTTATTATTGGTGTTTATTTACTGGATTAAGGGGTCTCCACAATCCTTTGGGAAGCAGATTGTTATAATTATTTATCAGTCAATAGTGTACTGAGTTGGGCTTTTCTTTCAAACTTGGCTCTGGGGAGCAGCTGGTGTGCTGGGCCCCAACTGCACTGGGGCAGCTTAGCCTGTGTGGGTCAGAGACGCATCGATGATCTTTCTAGTCGTGTACCACCTGGCTCCAGGACACCTGGTGAGAGGCTTCAGGGAAGGGAACATGAAACCCAACCAACTGTCGCAGATGGAATAGAGTCCCCAAATGCATTCCCAATCCTGCACCTGTGCGTACCATCCTGTTTGGAAACTGGATCTTTGAAGATGTCATCAGCTAGATTAATAAGGATTCAGGTGGTTCCTGATCCCATATGTTGTTGCTAGTTTACCATCTAATGGATTCTCACTCAGGGTGACTCCACAGGGTTTTCAAGGCTGTTTCTGAAGAACCTCCAGATGAGCGGAACCATCAATCTTTTACCTAGTAGTCTGTAGGGTAAGCATTGGACTGTAAGGTCAGTTTGAACCACAAGGTGGGTGATTCAAATTCACCAGCTGCTCCTTGGGATCACTATACAGGGTCACTATGAGTTGGACCAACAAGAAGGAGCACTTGACTGTTTACATTGTCCACCAAACTCATGGCTGCTGAGCTGATTCCAACGCACACTGACCCTGCAGGACAAAGTACACCTGGCCAATAGGGTTTCCACAGCGGTGAATCTTCTGAGACGCCGACGGTCTCATCTTTGTCCCTCTGAGTAGCTGATGGCTTCAAAGTGAAGCATGCTCTGTTTACAGCCTGATGCTTAACTTACAGCACCACAAGGGTCCCTATATGATCTTTGTCCTTGTAAAATAGAGGATGAGACACACACATAGACAGAGGACATGTGGAGATGGATCTACAAGACATGAAATGTCAAGGGTGGCCAGCAGCCACCAGAACCTGGGAGAGAGATCTCAGAGCCTCAGAGAGTCTCCAGAGCCTGGCTTCAGGCCGTGGTCTCCAGAGTTAAGAGGTGACACCTCTGTAGTTATGAGCCACATGCTAATTTTACATGCCACCCAGTCAGTTCTGATTCATAGGGAGCCTGTGCACTGGACCCTGTCCAGTCCTTAGCCATGTTAACAATTGGTAGGCTTAAGTCCATTGTAGATGCCACTGGGTCAATTTATCTTGTTGAGGGTCTTCTTTGTTTTTGTTGACCCCCCACTTTACCAAACACAATGTCCTTCTACAGGGATTGGTCCCTCCTGACAACATGTCCAAAGTATGAGAGACATCGGCAGGAGGGACCCTGGTTCGTGGTCCTCCTCCTAGTCTCTCCCATGTGCATGTGGGGAAGGTGCCTGGTTGGGGGACTGGTGCTGATCTCTGGGTAGCTTCTTCTACCTTGTCAAGAATGTCAGATCATGCACAAATGTCAACCTTTCTTCCTAGGGTGGCTTTGTGCAGCTTGCTTGCCTTAGGGCTCACTGCTGAAGGGTGAGAGTCTGAGGCAGAAGGACTCCAGGTCCTAGACCCTTGCAGAGTGGGACCTGGCAGGTGGAGACTGTGCAGGTGCTCAGGGCTCAACTAGGGAAGAGGAGCTGAGGCTGCAGCACTTGGTCTAATGAAGTCAGTGCTTAGAGCTTCTTCCTAGGGTGAGACGGGAGTGTCCAAATGCCTGAGGACTTTGCACTTTTACTGCCCTCTTCATTCACCACACACTCCTCTGGAACTTCCAGAACTCCTGTGATTTGGAAAACTCAGGCACAGTTCCACCACCCCATCTGCATTGTCTCATCCTGTTTTCCCCCTTCTTTTATTCCCCTTCATCACCACCAAAAGCAGCCAAGATGAGACTGAGCAAGACTTGAAACAGAAACCAGAGTTTGGGCATTCCTCACCAGGTTCCATCTACCAAGTCCACTCATAGGTGTTGACCTAAGAAATATGAAAGCAGGGCTCAGATAGATGTTTGTACATTCATGTTCATAGCCAAAATGTACATAGACAAAAGCTGGAAACCATCCAAATGTTCTTCAGTGGAGACCTGGATAAAACAAAGGGGTCTACGCAATGGAATATTATCCAAAGGGAGCAAATTCTTATTACATGGATCAATGTGGGTGAACCCTGAGAAGACTATCCTAAGACAAATAGATAACAGGTCACACATTGGATGATTCTATTTCTATGAGGCATTTAGAATAGTCTACTTTATAGAAATAGAGAACTGAGATGTGGTAGACAGAGGATGGGAGGGGGAGAAAGAGCCCAAGGGCACAGCGGGTTAAGTGTTGGGCTGGTGTCTGGATAAAATTGGGTCCCTACCAAATATGTGTCAACTTGGCTATGCCATGACTCTCAGTGATTTGGCGGTTATGTGATGATGCCCTATAAGGTGATCTGATGTGATAAAATAATATGTGTCTAAAGTATGGGCTTGTTGGTCTTGTCAGGTTCCTTTGAGTCCGTTCCCACTCACAGCAATCCCATACACCACAGAATGGAACACTGCCCAGTCCTGTGCCATCCTCACAGTTGTCGTTATGTTTGAGCCCATTGTTGCTGCCACCGTGCCAGCCCATCAGTTAGGAGTTCCCTCTATTGTGCGTCCCTTCCATTTTACCAAGTATGATGTCTTTCTCCTAGGACTGGTCCCTCCTGATAACATGTCCAAAATATGAGCGATGAAGACCTTTCAGGAGAGATCATGCTTCTAAGAAACATTGTGGCTCTATTTCTTCCAAAGCAAAGTTCTTTCTAGTTCTGGAAGTCCATGGTACTTTCAATATTCTACAACACCTTGACTCAATTGCATCAATTCTTCTATGATCTTGCTATTATTAAAATGACTTTAACATGATTTTATTATGCCTCACGAACCCCAGTTCCCATTGAGGGTATGCCCAGGCCAGCCCTGCCTGAGGGTTAGTCTCCTCCTTCCCCAGCCGGTTAGGGGAGAGGGAGAATCTGCTTCCAGACACGTGGCCTGAGCAGAGTCAGTACCAGGCAGCTAAGCAGAACTGTCACATCAGGGGCTGAATTCCTGGGCAGACTCATCAGGCAGTGGGCACCCACTCTGAACCACAGAGTCCCACAGCCCCAGTGCTTGGGGTTTTAGCTGTAGCACATGGTGCATGAGTATCCCACCCCTGGACTTGAGACCCCCTTTCTGCAGCCTGAACCTCCTTTTTGTCTCTGCAGGTGGATGCCTCAATAGCCTTAAACCGGCCAGCAGTGCTCCTGCCATCGCGATAGCTGCCGCTGCCATGGTCTCTGTGGACCCTGATGGGTTCCGGGGCCTGTCCCCCTCCAGCGTCCAGCCGTACCATGTCCTGACTTTGGCCCCCATCAAAATACCCCTGCGGAGCACCCCGTTCTCAGGTAATTGCAGAGTGGGGTCTGGCAGCCCCTTGAAAAGTTTTTGGTATCCACATGTCTGGGGGCCAGGCAGGACTTGGGCATCTCTGTGAGTGAGCCCACTCCACACAGGACATCTGTGTCCCTCTCATGTCACACATGTCTCTTGGGCCGCTGTGCCATCCCAATGGAGTGTGCTCAGTGTTTCTGTTTGGACTGACTCTTGGGAGTATGGAGGTGCATGTTACAGGCCACATTCTGTGTGAGTTCATTAATGAGGCGGATAAGCCCACCTTCTGGAAATTTCTTCAGGCAGGATCATGCTGGGCTCTTTGGTCAGATGAGAAGTGCCTGGACATGTGGCTCCAGAGGAAGAGGCCCCTCCTGGCTCTGCCGTTCACATGTGTCCTCAGCCTGTCCATGTGTCACTCCCTAATGGCCCAGCCTCCATCTGAACAAGAGTCCCAGTGGTGTGACAGGAGCTCTGTCTTAAGGAGGCACTCATGATGTGCAGGTGGAACTGTCGGGGACTGGCCTCGACATAGGGGTTCGGTTCACGAGGTGGAGATACCTGGCGGCGATAGAGATAGCAAAAGAGACACAGAGACAAAACAAGAGAGACAAAGAGGCACCCAGAAACCAGGGTGAATGCTGGACTGGCATCAGGCAGATCCTGCATTGCAAACATCTCAGCCACGAAGGCCGTAATATCCTGCATAGTAAACATCTTGGCTAAACAGGCAGTATGGTTGCAAGGCTGGACTGAGCTCCCTGCATGCTGTAACGCACACCTTGCCAGTCGTAATGCACCTGGATTCGTTCTGCACTTTCTTTTTATTTAGGGGAAGTACTATACACAAAGCTAGGAGGGACTAAGACAAGGTACAGCTGTCAATCTTACTTTTCCAGACATTCTGGACACTTTACATCATACTTTGCAGGTTGGAATCTCACTACCATTTCTCAAGCTTAATTAACATACCTTTTAGCACCTAACCTCAAATGGGGGGAGGAAAAGGAGGATTGGGAGGATTCCCATTGTGTCGGCTGCCCAGCCCAGGTTCTTCAGGAAAAGAGGCGCCTGGGTGAATGGGCTGCACCTGGAAACACTTTAGGGAGGGCATTCCTATTGTCCTTAAAACAGAGACCAGGGAGCCACCCAATTTACTTTGAATGAATTCTCTGAGGGAAGAACTTTGCCTGTTTGGAATTTTACAGTCTTGGCTTTTAGGAAAATATTACATTTATCTGTGTATATCAAGGGCTCCATGCCTGCAATTAATAAAACTTAACTGGACACTAAGATGAAATACAATTTGCTATGCCTGCCAGATAACTAGAATCTGTTCCTCAGAGCCTGTGGCCTGCATTGTCTCAGGCCCTGTGGGCCTCAAACTTCTGACCAGGTTTACACGGTCTACAACATGGAATGGCTTGAGCTCTGGTCTTGTAGTAATTTGTTTATACCACTCTTAGGGCTTTGTGGGATGTGGTCCATGGAGAGTGGGGACTGGGGAGAAGGCACTAATGCTGTGAATGAATGCACCGTCAGGGACGACAGGAAGCACACCATTGGGTTGAATGTGTCCTTGTTGTTGTTAGACCCATCATGTGGGCTCTGACTCAAGGCTGATCCTATGTACACAGAACAACTGCCTGCCCGGTCCTGCGCCATCCTCACAATGGCTGTTATGTTAGAGCGCATTGGTACTGCCACTGTGTCAGCCCATCAGCTCCTTGTGAGCGCTATATGTATGTATGTATGTAATGTGCGTCGATGAGAGGGCTTCCACATGTTCAGGGAAAATGGAATTAGAAGATAACAGACTGTGAAGCCCCCAGGTGTGAGTGTATGTGTATTGTATGTTGTTGTTAAGTGGCTTCATGTTGGTTCTGACTCATAGTGACCCTGGGCAGGGTTTCTGAGGTTGTATAGAAAGCCTCATCATTCTCTCTCAGAGCAACTGGTGAACTAGAACCACCAATCTAGTGCTTATCCTACAGAGCCACCACGCTCCCATATACACACATACAGCTAATGTGTATATATGTGTGTATGCCATTCATAGTAGGAAGAGCTTGTGCTTGGTACGTTCCCATTTTGGAACTGCCTTCGGGTTATTAGCTGTGCTTTTGACACCCCCTGTTCTGTCTCAGCTTTGGCCCTTTCCCTTCTGTGTGTCTCCCTGGGTGAGTGGAATGGGATGAATTAATTTGTCAGCAGGATGTCATATTCTCAAGAACAGGATCTGATTCCTCTTTCTCTGTGTCGATGTACATGCATTTAGGGTGAGAACAGGAAATCAATAAAATGCATTGATAACCTCCCGTGTGGAGCATAATTACAGATGTGTCAAGATTATGGTTGAAAACATCAGTCCATCAACATTCATTAAGGATGACTTACTATTTTCCAAGAAAATTAATCTTAGAAAGAACCCAAAACTGTGTACCCCAAGGGTGCGTCCCTTCCTGGTTGTCTAGGTGATTTATAAAGTGACATGACAATTAGGCTGCTTTCTTTGGTTTGTGTTTTTACAGCTCTATAATCAAGTCCTGGTGTGGTGCTGTGGGTTAATGTGCTGGACTGCAAGGTCAGTTTGAACCGCAAGGTCGGTGGTTCAAGCTCACTAGTTGCTCCTCGGAAACCCTATACAGAGTTGCTATGAGTTGGAACTGACTCGGTGGAACTTAATACCAACAACAAATAATCCAATTTGCCCTAACATGAGCTCATGAGGCAGGCACTGACATTGTCTGTCTTGTTGATAATCCCCTGAGTCAGCACCTGTCAGAAAAGTAAAAGAGGCATTGAACCACAAGAAACTTCTGGAAAAGCCCTCTGGGCACTGGCATGGATTGGTTCAGTCTGCGTACCCTGCTCTGGAGGGGAGGGTGAGTCATAGTGGAAATGAGGTGGGGTACTGGGTGTGAACCCAGTACCACTTGTGGGCAGTGCTGAGCCTTTGAGATCCCAGACCATAGTGTCCTGGTGTGGTGCTTTGGGAGCAGCCCTGGACTGTGAGACTTAAGGCTGGCAGTTCAAACCCACCAACCGCCCCTTGGGAACCCTATACAGGGTCGCTATCAATCGGAATGAACTCAATGGCACTTAACAACAACAGGCTATGTGTCAGGACACCTGGGGCCATGGGTTCCAAGGTGGTGTGACCATTTGACTGTACAGTCCCAGCTAACCTGCTAAGTGAGGACTGCTATTCCCACAGTGAAAACATTTATCTCATATTTCCCTTGGGGACTTGTTTGAAATCCAATACTTGAGAGTGGTTGAGGGGTAGACACTTTGGCCTATCAGGGATGCTTTGGGCTGTTGCATTTATTTTTAAGATACAGCTGGTGTCCCCAAAGAATTAGGGAGCTTGCAGGGAGAGGTCTTATTGTGATATGTACCCACTTAGGAAGCCGAGATAGCAGCCGACCTTGTGGTTAGCAGTCCAGGGTTTCCTGCATGTTTCTGTTAAGTGCCATCAAGTTGGTTCTAACTCAGAGCGACCCTGTGTAGGGTTTCCTAGGAGTGACTGGCGGGTTTGAACCACTGACCTTGTGGTTAACAGTTCATGGCAGATCCTACAGTGCCACACCAGGGGCTCCTGCATGTGGCGAAGGCAAGAACTCTATCAGTGACCCACACAGTTCTGAGTTAGTGGTTCTCACCTGGGGAGATTATGTCCTCCAAGGGCACACGTGGTTATGACTGTGGAGACATTGTTGGTTGTCACAAGGAGAAAAGGGCTCTGCTCCTGGCATCTAGTGGGTGGAGGCCAGGGATGCTGTTAAACCTTCCTCAATGTCCAGGACAGCTACTGTGACAAAAATGGATCCGAATCAAATGCCAGTCCTGCCTCCTTGAGACTTAATTTAGTTTAATTTGATGTATTCAGCATAGACATGCTAAAGTGAATGGAAGAAATGAAGAAATAAAAAAGCTGAACAGACCATTTTCAAAAGGACAATTCAAGAAGACAAAGTCAAGTATTATCATGGAATGTGCAAAGAGCTGGAGTTAGAAGACCCAAAGGGAAGAACATGCTCAGCGTTTCACAAGCTAAAAGTTGTTGTTGTTGTTAAGTGCCATGGAGCCGGTTCCGACCCATGGCAACCCTGTACAAGGTTTCCGAGGGTGTAAATCTTTACGGGAGTAGAAAGCCTCATCTTTCTCCCGCGGAGCGGCTGGTAGTTTCGAACCGCTGACCTTAAGGTTCGCAGCCCGATTCGTAACCACTACGCTACCAGAGCTCCTTACAAGCTAAAAGAGCTGAAGACAAATTCAAGCTTCAACTTGTAATGTTGAATGGAATCCTGGGGTGACACTGCAGGATAAGCACTTGACCGCAAAGTCAGTCTGAACTGCAAGGTTGGCAGTTCAAACTCACCAGCTGCTTCTCAGAAACCCTATACAAGGTCACTATAGGTCAGAAATAACGGCACTTAACTCTGGTAGCGTAGTGGTTACGAATCGGGCTGCGAACCTTAAGGTCAGCAGTTCAAAACTACCAGCTGCTCCGCGGGAGAAAGATGAGGCTTTCTACTCCCGTAAAGATTTACACCCTCGGAAACCCTGTACAGGGTCGCTATGGGTCGGAACCGACTCGATGGCACTTAACAACAACAACAACAACAACAACAACAACAAATGGGAAAAATACTGAACGGTGCAGAAAACAAAAGAAGAAGGAAGGACTACACAGAGCCACTGTTCCAAAAATAAATGGTGGGAATTCAACCATTTCAAGAGGAACCATATTACCAAGAGCGAATGGTACTGAAGGAAGAAGTCCAAGTTGCACTAAAGACATTGGCAAACAGCAAGGCTCCAGGAATTGATGGAATACAAATTGAAATTGTTTACCAAGCTGATGAAACACTGGAAGCACTCACTCATCTATGCCAAGAAATTTGGAAGAAAGCTAGCTGGCCAACCAATTGGAAGAGATTCATATCTGTGCCTATTCCAAAGAGAGAAGATCCGACGGAATACAGAAATCACTGAACAATATCATTAA